TATGAAGAAATTTTCATAGGTTAAGAACTAGTCTTAGATGCTTTTTTAAAAAAAATAGTGTTCAAATAAACCTGGGAAGGAGGTATTATTTGCTTTTTATAGGAATCCAAAGTTTCTATATTTCATTTGACTTGCCCAGTGGATGTGAATGAATGAATACGGATTCGAACACAGCCTTCTGACCCCAGTCCATTTCACCAAAGTTATAAGAAGAAAGTTATAGGAAGAAAGACCATAAATACGGGGAAGGAATGAGACATAATATACTGACAGGATAGTATTTTAATAATAAGTACCCCAAAGTATAAATCAACCAGTTGCAGTGATTTTTTTGCTTACAGATACAGTGATGTTTTTGGTGTGTGAATCTAATAAATAAGACCATGAAAGGCAATTTTACATTATCATTTTTTTTGATGGCATATTAGGTAGCAAGGGAAGCCCAGGCTGGGATGAGGTTACTTACCTGGGAATTAAGCAGCGCTTTGTACTCTGACCACTGCAAGAGGGTGATGGGTGGAGTGAATGGGGGGTGGGGATGGGAGCCAAGGGGGAAGGGGGGTGTGGATCCAGGTTTAAAGGAAAAATACTTAAGAGATGTAAATGTCAACTATTATATAACAGAAAGAAGAATAAAAAGACTATGGTCTCAGGTTCCATGACAAGAAATTAGAATTAAGTATGATACTAAGTAATAAGGTTTCCTCTGTGGGCCAGATGTTTCTCTTCTCTTGGTAAACTGTAGTGTAGTTTAGACTTCTCCAAATATTTTGCATAAAATGGTTAAACATTAGAAAAATACACCATTCCCTCCACTTGCCCTTCTAACTTTTATTACTCCCTGTTGACTCCCTGCTTCCTTATTTTCTTGTTCGTTTATGCCTGATATGGAATTAACAGGAACAGTTTCTACATGTGTATCAATTAAGTTTGTGGTCTTCTGTAAGTAACAGAAAAGATGACTAATAATGGTTAAATAAATAGCTTTACACACACACACACACACACACACACACACACACACAAACAAACACAAAAAAATCCAGGGACACATTGCTGCTTGCATTTGGTTAGAGAATGAACGGTACCAGGAAATCCTGTGATCTTTTAGCATTTCCCTCGTGTTGGTTGTCTCATGGTCTCAAGGTGGCTGCTAGAGCACCAGACATCAAGTTTGCATTTAAGGCAAAAAGAAAGAGAAAGAGAAAAAGAGAAGAATAAAGAGAGGTGCAGTCAATTATACTTTTTATTTTTTTATGTTTTTCCTTCCCAGAAACTGTTTCCTCATCCCCACTTAAAAGACTGCATTTTAGGACTCACTGGTCAGATTGGAAACAGGTGTTAGGACTGGTATAAACTAGTGGTTTTCAACCAGGGACAACTTTGCCCCCCAGAAAACATACGACAATGTCAAGAGACATTTTTTTGGCTGTTACAGTTAGGAGATGGGTGCTGCTGGCATTAAGTGGGTAGAGACAAGGGACTCTGGATTCTGGTAACATCCTACCACATACGGGATGTCCACCCACCCCTTTATAACAAAGAATTATCCTGCCCCAGATCTCTGTAGTGTCAGGGTGATGAAACCCTGGTCTAACTCAATCCCTGGATACTGGGCACAGTGTACCCCAAACAAAATTTGAGTATTATGAGAAAGAAATGGGGGGAGCTGATCAGTAGAAAACTAATAGTTTTGACCACCATAAATCCAGATCTTTTCCCAAAACATTGCTGAAGCGCAAGACTCTATTTTGGCAGAATGTTAGAAAATAGTGGTCCTGATTTTCAGTTGGTCTGTATTTTTTTAATTAGTGAAAGATAAAAGTTTTGGAAGAGATTCTAATAACTATACAGCCCAACCACTTTATCCACTTCATTATAGAGGAAACGATTATTAATTTTTTACTTTATATAAGCACAGAATAAACACTGAGACTATATTTATATTAATTAGAGACACAAGTTTACTGGCTAACCTGAATCATTAGTTTCTTCAAGGATCAATATCTATTCTCCCAGTTATATGAGTTTTTCCCCCCTTTTATCATCAGGCTCTGAGACTATGTCCTTACAATGATAAATATAAAACTGAAGATTTTAAAAACATTTTTAAAAATTACACACATATGGTAATAACTCTTCTATTTGGACCCCTGGGAAAACTACAAGTGTGTACTATATATTAGCTCTACTTATCTTAGAGCTGGGGAGAGGTTATTAACTCTATTTTATACATGAGAACACTGAGGCTCAGAGAAATTAAATGGTTTATTCAGAGTGTCAAGGCTGGAAAGTAGCTGTACCTGTACCTTTCTTGCTCAAAGTTAAGGCGTATAATACTTCCATCCATTTTGTACTCTGGATTATTTAATCGAGAAAATCAAACAAAATATTACAGTTACTGTGTTTTGGAGGGATCTGATCCTTGAGGGCTAAAACTGTTACAAAAATATTCCTGATTATTCTCCGTGTTAGTTAGAGAATTTTATTTATTTATTTTTGTTTATTTACTCTTATCTCCATAACTCACTCTCTCTTTTCTCTACACCCAAAGGCTACCAACCATGGTCATGCATTTAATGTTCATCTCTAATGACATATTTTTGCACACAGTCTTTATTTTTACATTTATTGTCAGAATTGAACACACAGTTGCCTTTATTTCAACAAGAATGTGGTCGAAACCAAAGTTGTGTTACTTTGGATTACATTAAGAATTTCCATTTCCTTTGGTTTAAGTTGAGATGTATACTTATTATCACTAGAATTTGCATTTCATTCTTTCCATTTTGCACTCCACTTTGCAAAATAATATTGGCACAATTAAATACAATATTTAATGAATGGCAAAAATGCAAGTATAAAATTGGCCACCTTATCAAAATGTAAATCTGACCATCACCACCACCATCTTGCACACGTGCACACACACGCACACACACACACACACACACACACACTTGCACATTGTTAAAGCTTCTTTAATCGCTTCACATTGCTTTTAGGATAAAGATTAAGGTTTATATGGAGGCAAATAAGACCTGGCATAGCTCCGCTCCCACTCAGCTCTCCATCCTCACTGGGTACTGTGCTGTCTGGCACTTTCTGTGTTCCGCCCACACTGGCCTTCTACAATCCCTTCTTCTCACCATGCTCCCTCCTGCCTCAAAGCACTTCCTCAGCCTAAACATCATCTTTTCTCATCTCATCCCTGTTAAGTTTATTAGTCTTACACGCATCTGCTCAAATACTCCAATGGGAGCGTTTAGCACTTTATACCTCTGCACTACAGTCCATGCCAGAGTTGTAATTTTACATTTGATTTTAAGTGACCTTTTACTTAATATCAGTTGCCTCCTCTATAACACAAATTGCTTGTTGACAAAGACTATTTCTTTTGGCCTTTTCTTGTACGGCCATAGACTGGCACAATGCCTGGCGCTTAATAAAATGATGACAACAAAGGATAGTTTGTACTATTATATGTTAACTCAAAGTGTTTATTTTTCATTAGTAAGGCATTTGATGGGCATCAATCAATTGCACTGAAACGCCAAATACACAATACTGGAATACTGCTCTGCTGTATGCTCTCTCTAGTTCTCTTTTCTGGGTCACTCCAACTTCCTGGGAAATTGATCCATTCTAGAGATGCAATTATGGCCACCAGGGCAACAGTAAAGTTGCTTTACATCGGTGACTGGCACGCTTCTTGTAAGAACCCATGAGATTGAGTGATTGTGACATTTTGAAGTAGCCTCAATGGACAGGCAGTGTTTTGTTTCCAGAGTTTTGGTTATTAGTAATCATAAGACAGGCTGAATGAACATCATTGCTAAACACTGTTGAAGAAATGAGCATGGACAAGATCCAGGATGATCTGAGACAGATTGACAGAGAGCAAAATACTCCCAGAGAGACTGGGGAAGCATCATGAACACAGATTGCTTCTGGTCCCTGGGAACATCCCTCTTACGTTCACTGGGACACTGGATTTAAAGAATCATGTATCAACCACTATTCCTATAACTCTTTTACGACCACCTGTTTTGCCTGTATTTGCTGTTTGGTGAACATCCCTTTATTCTTCCACATTCACAAACAAAGGAAGACGCTTTCATGACTCTCTATAAGTTGAGGTTATGTATGTATGAGTCATGACACACAAACAACTCTGGGGATGAATATTATCTAAGCAAAGCTATTTCATTCTCTATTTGTTGAATGGCATGTGGCTTTCTTGTTTTTTAAATCTAATGACACCTAATTGTACCCTCTGCAGTCTCTGAATTTATAAAATTTTGGCTAATTCTACAAAAATATTCAAAAATTATCTTTTATAGGACATCCCATCCCATGCTTTGGGGAAATAATTTAGGTATTTATGAAGAGTTTCATGCAGCTCTAGAAACGATGGCTAAGTGATAGCTTAAACTAATCCTTTCACTTAGAAATAAAACCAATCACATTCCATTTAGCATTGCTTGCAATACCCTCCATAGCGTGACTACAAAAATTCACAAATTGTTGGAACTTTAAAAAGAAAGTCATTGTTCTCTTATTCTGATTATTTTAATGCAAGAATCTTGGGAAATATTTGTGTGAGTTTACCGATATGGTATGTTCAATTTATTGGCATAACTACTTCAGGTTCAGAAGATTGAGCTTAATAAATGAGGGTTGAAATTAATTATGACTTTTTTTGTGACAGTTATAAAATATTGCTATCCAGAAAGACAGAAAAGTAAGACATTTGTAAATATTTGCTAAGTGTTTGGATAACATGAAAGATTGGTTCAAAGGATACTGGCTTTGGAGGCAGAGAAATATGAGCTCCCATCAAGCCCCCACCACTTATTAGTTAAGTGACAACAAAGACTGTAATTGCCTTTTCTAAGCTATAGCTTTTCATCAGCAAAATACTACTCCTACCACCACTTGCCATGTAGAGTTGCTGTAAAAATTAGATTTAACGGAATTCAACTGATTAACCTTAATAGGTCCATAGGCAATTGAAGAAACGCCTAACATCAAGCCAACTAACAAAGTGGGAAAAACCCCCAATGCTTCCAAGTACTAAGATAATGGATAATAGTAGGACAAATGGTCAATAAAATAGAATCAGTTTTTATTTTTTATCCATCTTTGTTGTTATAGATTACATGAGAAGACTTCAAAAAGTTAATGACAAAGGGAATCAAAATATAAAGGTAAAAAATACAAACTTTATTTCTCAACATAAGCTCCATCAACTTCAAGACACTTTTGTAAGTGATGACACCAGCCATTTAGTCTATCCCTAATAAACTGTGTATCCTGGGAAATCATGTCAAAGCAGTCTTTTTTACAATAACTGAAGAAAAATGGCTAACTTTTAAACATTTTTTAAGATTAGAAAACAAAAAGTCAAAAGGAGATGAATCAGGACTATAAGGTGGAAGCCTAAAGATTTCCCAGAGAAACTCTCACAACACTGCCCTTGTGTGATGAGAGGAGTGAGCAGGAGCCTTGTGGTGGTGGAGAAAACTCTCCAGTGAAGCTTCCTGGGCATTTTTCTGCTAAAGCTTTGGCTGAGTTTTTCCAAACACTCTCATAACAAGTAGATGCTACCGTTCTTTGGCCTCTAGAAGGTCGACAAACACAATTCCTTAAGCATCTAAAAAACTGTTGCCATGATGCTTGCTCTTGACTGGTTTACTTTTGCTCTGACTAGAGAGACCACATCCACCTTTTGGTGGCCATTGCTTTGCTTTGTCTTCAGGCTTGTACTTGTAAAGTCATGTGTCCTCTCCTGTTACAATTGTTCCATAAAATGCTTCAGGATCTTGATCTCACTTGTTTAATATTTCCATTGAAAGCTCTGCTCTTGTCTGCAGCTGATCAAGGCACAACAGTTTTGGCTCCCATCGAGCAGAAAGTTTTCTCAACTGTAATTTTTCAGTCACAATCGTGTAAGGAGAACCAGTTGAGATGTCTATGGTGTTGGCTATTGTTTCTGCTATTAATCTTCAGTCCTCTTCAATTAGGGTATAAACAAGATTAATTTTTCCTTGCAAACTGATGTGAATGGTCTGCTGCTGTGGGGTTCGTCTTCAACATTGTCTCATTCCTTCTTAAAATGAGTTATCCATTTGTAAATTGCTGAGTTCTTTGGGGCATTGTCCCCATACATTTTTCATAAAGCATCAATGATCACCATTTTTTCTTCCAAGCTTCAGGATAAATTTGACGTTTTTGTTTCAGTTTTAGTAGAATTTATGTTGCTTTGATAGGGACTCTTTTGAAACTCCTGTCTTATCCTTCTTAGTGCCTCAGACTAGATTCTGTTGAGACATGTTATGAGAAGTTAATAGGAGTTTATTCTGGTGCAAAAATTTTTTGAAATTCATCCATAGTTTTTTCACAATGCACATTTCCCATGAACTTTTTGAGAACCCACTGGACAGATCTTGCGATGATTAAACCTAGGCTAAGCTAATTCTTAGCTCCAATTGAAATGACTTTAAAAGACTAAATGGTCTGAGAAGAAGTTTGTGTATCTGTTACAGACTGTGCCATAAATATAAAGGAAGAGAGAGGACTTTCAGTATCTGGAAACTGAAAATGCAGTCATGTGGAAATGGTTCTTTTTCCTTTACTTCAGCAGTAAGATTTGGGATGTTGACTCAGTTGACAAAATGACACACCTTTCAAATCCTTTCTTTGACTTTGAGATGTAAACAGTGCTCCTTCTTGCCATTATTATCACTGCTTACTTTTTGACTCTGAAGACTACTGACTCAGAAGCGTTCAGTGTCTTCACAACCATGATTTAAAATTAGTCAGGCTGCTAGATTCAAATACCAGCCCCCACCACTCCCTGACTGTGGGGTCTGGTCAAGTTTCTTATCCTCTCTGTGCCTCGGTTTGCTCATCAGTAAAGTGAAAATATTGATGGTCATGATGAAAACTAAATGAGACAATCAGCATCTAGCACATAGAAGACACTCAACAAATATTAATACCAGTAGCTGCCGTTACTATAAGGAGTTTTTATTGCATACGTAATGAAGAAACCTTTTAATATGATAATTAATTATCAAGTGTCCTATAATATCAAAGCATTAGATCATTTCCTGCTACAGCAAAAAAAAAAAAAAATGCAATAAGATTTCTCACATGTAGTAAACTAAGTTATAGATTATACTCTTTGCATCTTATCTCACTGCAGAATATTAAATTCAATAGTGTCATCATTTTAAGTAGAGAAAAGCTTATTTATAGACTATCTTTTCCTATAAATATGGAACTGCAAATGGATCAAATGCAGTAGGAAGGGAAAGTGTAAAAAAGTTCAGAGTAGAATGCAAAAAGTAGATGTGAAAGAAAAGGAAAGGAAAATGCCTTGCATATATCCGCATGTCAAAAATTTCACAGGGTGTTTCTTCTGCTTGTTTTGTCTTGTTTTTTTTTTTTTTTCTTTATTTGTTTTTTTTGCCAAAGCAGAGCAGTCCACAGAAACTTAGGCTGAGTCCCAAGCTGAGTCATCAACTAAACAACCCATCTGGAAAGAAGACTGGTTTTGGCCAGTCTAATTGAAATAAAATTTTAGTCTCTTGCTTCTAACTGGAAAAAATTATTGTCATTCCATTTTCATGGGGACAGTGATCACTGGAAAGTTTGTATTGTCAGAATACAAACTAGCTATTTCTTTCAAAAGCCTCAACTTTATACTTTAAATATCCTGGTTTATGTAGCATCCGTATGGCTTTCTTTCAGGTTCTCCACATTCAGTTCTCTACTTCAATCTTTTTAAATCAATTTCCAGAGAAGAAAAACATCAAAAACATACACACACAGCACTTATCTGAGTCACAGAAAAATATCTCCTATGTTAATTTTCAAGGGAAAAAGAATAAAAGAAATAAACAAACAAACAAGAAGAGAGGGAAGGAAGAAAGGAGGGAAGGAAAAATTTATCTATAGTGGGATAACAAATTGAGGTGATATTATAAATAGAAAGGACAGAGTAAACACAGTCAAGCACGGCTACATAACTTGTGGGGCCAGTGCAAGATGAAAATGTGGGGGATGTCACCCAAAAAAGTATTAAGAATTTCAAAACGCAGGAACGGGACTAATAAACCAAACGGGTAGCTCTTCTGAGCATCGGGCCCTGGGCACAGACTGCACACCCCTGAAGGCGGCTCTGAATGTAGTTTTTTACTTTGTCTAAAAATATTCTTCTTCGTGAACCTTCATGCTCAGCTTAAGGAAGAGAGACATTAACTTTTAGTGCCATCTGGTGTGACTTAGCCTGATCTGCTAATTTTCTTTTAGATACTCCCCCATTTGTCTAGAAAAAAGAGCTGAGTTTCTCTTCCACTGCTCCCCTGACTAATCTCTAAAAATTTTTAGGGCCTCCTGGAGGGAAGAGTGTCACTGGAGAAAGTAAGGATTAAGGTCCCTGGCCCAGTACCCTCTGATCCTTCTATTTGCGGGTTAACATCTCCTGTGCGTCTGGGGGATACTCAATATGGGAGGCCAAGTCTGTAGCAGGTTAACTTGGGATCTGGGAGACTGCCAGTTCTTAGAGGGACTAGCATTATTAGATTTTTAAAAAGATAGGATACAAAGTTCACTTTTTCTTGTGATGTGTGGGAACTTGGGAGAAATATCAGATTAACCAAAGACAAAATGTAGGGGTTGTACATTTGCTTTACGTATGAATACAGGCTGTGATTCACAAGAAATTTATAACCTAGTCATGTATGATAGATTTTCTAACATTTAAAAAAAAATTACAAGTAAATCTTGATTTACGTCAGGTGAGTTTTGTGAACATTTTTGAGACAAAAAGTCAAACAAAAAATTCCTCATATATTTAAAATCACAAATTTGACTTCCTATTTAAAGGAACATTGCAGTAAAATCATTTGTTAAGTGAAGATTTTTTTTTAAGTGAATACACTTGGCCCATTGTTTCTCTGTTTTGTTCTGACGGATTCAGTGGAAAAAGACATTCATGGGACCCATTATTGCTCATTTGTACATTAAATCTTTCTCTTTACTGGTTCTTTCCCATCTTCATTTAAAAGAGTCAAGAATCTTCTGTCCTCAAAAAATACAAATAAAAACAGAAAGAAGTACTGTCTGGCCTAATATATGCCCAATGCTTTTGGTACCACTGTGAGCTGAGGACAGCATCGCCACTTAAATTAATCCATGGTGAATCATCACAGGGACTGTTTAGTAACAAATGACATCAAAACAGAGCTGACGTTCCTCCTCTCAGCTCTATTTTGATGTCATTTGTTACTAAACAGAACTCAGTGAGAAAAGTCACTAAACCATCCTACTTTTGTGATTTCTTCTTGGAGGCAAATATGCCCATGTAGGCATGAGGGACTCCCTGAGTTCTGATCGAAGAGAACAAATGGTAGTGTTCAGAGTGCAAAATTTATGTCCTTAGTGACATAATTCTTACCATAAAGACTCACGTTCGATAGCAAAGAACACTGGCATCTCTCAAAAATAAAACGCTGACTCAAAAATTAGGAACAGTGAAATTATTTTAAGTGACAGCCCCCCCCCTGCTATTAAATATATTAAATTCTTACCATAAAGACTCACGTTCGATAGCAAAGAACACTGGCATCTCTCAAAAATAAAATGCTGACTCAAAAATTAGGAACAGTGAAATTATTTTAAGTGACACCCCCCCCACTATTAAATATATTTTTAGGTGGGAATTATGTAAGAATTATTACATGCCATCCTAATATTATTTTATGTTAGCCAATTGTTCCAGAAAAATGAGGAAAGTGCTAGAATGAAGAAAGCTAGAATACTGAATGAAGAAATTCCTTTATTCTACTTGTTGGGGAACTTTGCGTTTTCTGATAAGAAAGCATAGAATTGTGCTATAATATTTTTGGCATGATTTTTATTTTATGTAAAAAGCTTGTAAATTTTCTCTAAGAAGCTGCGAAAGGCACAACTGTCATACAAACAGGCTTGTCATCACTAGGTTCCTGTTTTTGACCCTTTGGCTTTAACATTTCCATCATTTACCCCCACAGAATTTGCTTTTT